GCGATGTTCCCAGTTTGCGGCCGCAACTCCTAGAAAACGCGATGGAGGAGATGGAGCAGGAGTGGAAGCGTTGCGAGATAGTTTGAGGGGGGGAAGAAAAGCTGCAAGAGCACAAAGGGGGGGTTATTCAATGCCTCTCGGCTGCCGGATTGGCACAGGCTGATAATGATTTTTTTTTTAACAGAATTAGGAAAAATCTTGGAGAATGCAGAGCCTGACAGAGAACCCCATCAATTTTAGACAGAAGGGCTGAACAAACACCCAAACTGCTTCTGTAGGGTGTGGAAGATGGATTGGTGGCACTTAAAGGAAATCTTTCCCCACTAAATCCGAAAATTATCACAGCGGCCAGGTATTTAGGGCTGAAATAAATTCTAGAAGGAAATCGGGAGGATTTAAGACCTGTGTTAATAAATGAGTGGCCATTTCAGCACATTGATTGGAGACTCACACAATCCAACTATTTCCATACCTTAGGGAAATATTTATGGATTACATAGGGATTTCTAGCCTGGAAACACTCAGACTATGAAACAACGCTCCTGGTGATGTATTCTTGAAAGAAATCCTCAATTTAATACCATTTAAAGTCTCATTCGTGTGTTTCTCATCTAAAACAATTAAAATAAATGAACGTGAAGCTGTTGACAGCTTCACAATCAGAGTGAGGAGCTCAATCGGTGCCGCCGTGCTGTGTTATCAGTACGTTTCTATACATAAAGCCACAGATATAAGGGCGGATGGTAGAACTTGTTTGCTGACGACCGATAGACACCCCAGCAAGTCTCGAAACTCCCTGCTGCGAGATGCTCCCCGCAGCGTCGGAGACCTCAGAAGGAAGCAGAGCTACAAAACCAGGCACATGCGCAGGAAATCCTGCCAGGAGACAGAGCTGTCTGCTCCGAAACACCCCAACACACACCTCAACACCTCCCACAATTTCTTTCCCCAATCCTTCTTGTTTAGGTGCTACAAAAATACTTTACAGGAGGGAAAAAGCAGGCTGCCCTGGGCACAGGGGTGATCAGGCAGGATTTATAGAGTGGTGCAGGTGGTTAATAATTACAATTATTAACTAACATGACGAAATACCCCAGAGCATTAGCAGAAACTGAGATCTTGGCTGAACAATCAGAAAATACAAGTTAAATCGGCTACCACCCCTGAGCCAGGGCCACCGCCGAGCATATCGCAGTAGCTTTAGTGGACGTAAGGGTGTTCTGTGGGAAAATAATACACCCTTATTTACACTAAGCCACCTGAATTCGAATTGCGGCGCTTAACCACATGTCCTCCAACACATCAACACAGGATATAGCTAGATGTATGGAGCGTGGAGGGAAGGAAGCCGAAGCAATAATTCAGCTCGCCTTTCCTTGGGGAAAAGCGGCAGCATCAGAAAAACCATCGCGATGGGAGTAAATCGACAGCACCTATATCCTAAAGCCTGTCCCTCGCAGCAGCCAGCACGCAGGAGCTGCGGTGAACTCTACGCGATCGCTTACTCGTCAGCGCTTTTCTTAAGAGTTTGCTCGTTCAGGGAAAAAGCGTTTACAGGGAACTTGGTGCAGAAGGATTTTAGCACCCGCTGACTTCTCTGAGCCCTTCCCGGCTGACTTCCTCACCTCTCCCTCTTACCCCGCTCACGTGCTCCCAATCTGCAGCATCTCTGGTGACGAGGTGCTTGGACGTTCCTGCGGATCACGGGCAGACCAGGGTCCATTCTCTGCTCAGCTTCGAGCAGTCTGAAGGGGTTTTAGTTCGCGTGACTAATTAATTGTCAGATGTTTGGAGTTTACTGCCTGCATCCTAGAGGAGCACAGAGCCATGAAAACCTTAACGCTACCTTGTGTATGGCTTTTCCTATGCAGCCTATCTATATCTGCACTTAATTCAAGGATTTTGACTCGGAACACAACCCCCCAGCGATATTTGGCATGGACCCAGCTACCTCACGGCCATCAAGCCCCAAACGCTCCCACTGAGCCCCGACCTCATCAATATGGCAGCGCGGCTGGCGAGCTGGGCTCAGCACCTCCTCGCACACGCCAGCTGCCTCTCCAGACCTCGCTCCTTGGCCAGACCTTTGTTTGAACAGGAAGGCAAAGTTCAGAGTCCAAGGGAACGGCTGTTGTACGATTAATCTACCACCGGAAGGTAGAAAGCTTGGCAGAACGGCACGGGGGAGCGCCCGAAACGCACAGCACGCCTCAATCAACCTGAAAAGCAGTCATTGAAGGGATAAAATTCACCCCTGCAAGGGCAAGCTGGGTTCTGCTAAGCAGAGGTGAGATGTTCCTTCCAACCCAAACTTCAGGAACGCAGAGGTAACCTCGCTCAGGCGGTGCCCCAATTACGCAAGGGAATTAATGACAAATTGTTCTTTCATGCTGACAGCTGATTTTCCCTCCCCTTGTTAATAATCAGGGTGGAAGAAAACAACAGGTAGAAGATAGCCAGCGCAGCAAACAGCCCAAACTCCACTCGCTGGTCCCTGCTGGAAGTTCTGCAGATGTTTTGATGCCAACGCTCCTGGTGCGAGCGAACGTGGACAGGAGGAGCCGCTGTCCCTGCTGACCAGGAGGTGAAGTCTCCTCCCAAAAAAACCAGCTGGGAAGCAGCGTATGTAACACACAGCTTGCACCCCTCGATGGTCCCTTTTCTTCGAATTAATTTTTTAAGCCAGTATAACGGCGTGTTAGAGAAATACTGACAGCAGAAAGGCAAAAGTAAGGAAATGAAGCAGAAAGGGGAAGGTGCAAGGAAAGTGTAACTCACCATATTACAAATAAAGGTGGGGTTTTGTCCTTTTTTAAAAAGAATGGCTGGCACACGGAAATCTCGCCACCTTTAAGACCCAATATTTAAAGTTACAGGCAGCCTACCCTGATTAAAGAATCTCAATTTTCTTAAGTAAACCTTAAATCAAAAGGTATTTCTTTATAATGCTTTCTGAAAAATCCACCCCAATTAAAACATCAATCCACGAATGCAGTAAAACGCAAGCAGAGCGCAGGTCTTAACGCTTCAACAAAGCCAAGCCCAGTTGTTTTCATCAGGATGGGGACAGCTAATTCAATCTACATCGGAGGGTTTCTACGGAGAAAAGCAGGAAGAAACCTGGCAATCGCCACAAAAATCTGCTGAGCAAGGAGGAAAAACCAGCAGCTGTAAAAGGAGGCAACGGAATGGAGACTCTTTTCTTGGCACAGGCTAAATTTGAACAGATGATGGTGGCTAGCTGAACGCCCGTCTGCCTTCAAAGCAAAGCCACCAAAAAAAGTGAAGATGATGCTGCCGAGGCAGCATCTAACCCCGCGCCCCGCGTCACCTTGTACGGCTTTCAAAATCGTCTCCCCTGCCACCCTAAAGTGCCACCAGCACCCTCCAAGGCACCCACTTTGTTCTCGCAGCACGCTACCGGCGCTCAGCAGCAATTACGCTGCTCTGAGCTCAGTCACGCATCAAAGCGAGATCTGGGGATCAAGTTTATACGCTAAAACACCCCAAAACTGGTAGAGGTCCGATTAAACCCACCGAAAAGGTGGGAGCAAGCGGCGGCCATCTCCCTCAACGCCCAACAGCTTGCAGGGTCAACCTTGGGATCGAGAGGGAACAAGCCCAATTTGTTACAGCCCCGATGAGGTATTTAGTGACTCAGGGTATTAATTACATTTGGAAAAGAATCTTCCAGGATGAGTTTGAGATGTCTGCCTGCAGGAGAGGGGTTCACCACTCGGGAAGGCGAGCGGGTGATGCCAGGATAAACAGTTCAGGACCTGAGCTCGGTGTTTTCATGGGTAATAAATCTCCCTGGCGTGGAGCAGGCGAAACGTTCCCTCTCGCAGAGCTCACCTCATCCGTCTCTCAATCCCATTAGCTCGCGGAGGACTTCACGGACACGGCTGGAGATCCGGTAAGTCGCTGCCACCCGCGCTGGAGGAAAGGGTTTGAGGTCGGGAGCAGTCTCAGCACTTTGTCTTCACATTAATGCCTAAACCTCCCTTTCTGCCCATCGCCGGGGGAAACTTCTCTGGTACAAACAATTTACACCAAGTTGGAGGTTTGTGTCTGCTGGTGTGACACCATGTCCGTTCCAGGCTAAGCACATCCTTATCCATCACCCCATCCGGCAGGAAAGCTCCCAGCCGCCTCTCTCCATAGCAGGAATAACCTCTGCGGTGCCATGGAAACCGATTTCCTTATTTCTCCCTCATTTCAAGAAGGAGAAGCCGTACTCCAGGTGATGATTAACAGATGACAGCTTCAACGAGCACGGAGACACAGGATTTGTAGGCCAGTTCTAAGCCTCCAACCTCTCACAAACTTTACCAGGGCACCAGAAATTAAGGCAGAGTCACAGGTAATCTCAGGACAGTCCTTTTATCTCCACCCACCAAAACATTCACCTTTAAAATGAAAGCATTTTACAAACAATACAACGTTGACACCACTTAAGTTTCGCTCCGCGTTAAAAGGAAGAATAAAACATCAGGGAGAATATTACAGTCACATGGAAGTTATGCAGAACCTTAATGGCGTACACTGCAGAAATTAAAACCCCGGAATAGAATTTCTGATGTTTCCAGACAGACAGGCTAAAGGGACAAACCACATCTTTGTTAAATATAGAAAAGTTTCAATTCAAGGGGAAGAGAAGAGGTTTCGTTTGCCAGATCGTGAAGTAGCACTGGTTTGCACACATGCTCAAAAGGAAATTCTTCTAGTACAAAGCCATCTAAAAAACAGACCGCACAAAACCTAGCTACCAAAATGAAGATTTGGTAAAAAAAAAAAATTTCCTCTATTTTTAAAAAAAATCACCTTACAGGTAAAGGCTTCCACTGCCTAAGTGAGTTTAGTAGAACGAGAACTCAAAAGATGTGCTATGAAATTCACAGATACAGTTATGTCTTTAAAAAAAAAAAAAAAAAACAACAAACCCCAAACCCAAACAAAATGCGTCAGGTCTTTTACACATCAGCTTCCTCCTCCAGAGTTTACTCTGCATCCTCATCCTCTTGTGCTGCAGCAGCTTCCTCGCTCTCTTCCTCCTCATCTTCTACCTCCACACCTTCTACTGGCTGTTGCTCTTCTTCCTCAGGGAGCGATTCCTCTGCAGGCGGGGAAGTCTGCTCCTCCACGTTTTCTGCGTCCGGCTCCACCTCTGTTTGTGCTTGTGGTTGTGCCTCGATTTCTGTCTCTGTCCCCGTTTCTTCTCGCTCCCCCTCATTTTCAGCTCCTTCTGGGTTCTCTTCAGGATCCTTATTTTCCTCATCTAGATTTTCCTCCTCTGGATTTTCCTCTTCCAGATTTTCCTCCTCTGGGTTTTCTTCTTCTGGATTTTCTTCCTCCGGATTTTCCTCCTCATCCTTGTTTTCATCTCCTCCTTCTGCTGTTCCTTCCTCTACATTTCCACTGGCTCCCCCTTCTCCTTCCTCATGCTCCTCTTTTTCTTCTGGGTCATCCGTGAAAGGATTCTCACCCTGAAAAGAGAAGACAAACATTTGTCCACTACGAGTTTACCTCTAGCCGCTTCGAGGAATTCACGCTGGCTACACGCCAGCAAACCCTCCCGAGAAGTTCAGCGTTATGGTCGCACTGAAAGCAGTCAAGCGAGCAGCTCCTGAAAGCAGATGCCACCTTGAGAATTCAAATCACCGCTATTATTAGCGGTGACAGTGCAACGGTCAGCTCTTAAGCTGGAAGCCTTGCTCATCCTCTTCGCTCAGGGTTTGGTGGGCAGGAGATGACTGATGAAGTCATCTGCACCGGAGAGACTTGATGACCAGCAACGAGGAATCCGATATATTACTGAGGTTCAACAGGGCCAAGTGCCGGGTCCTGCACTTGGGTCACAACAACCCTATGCAACGCTGCAGGCTTGGGGAAGAGTGGCTGGGAGCTGCCTGGCCGAAAAGGACCTGGGGGTGTTGGTCGACAGCAGCTGAACATGAGCCAGCAGTGTGCCCAGGTGGCCAAGAAGGCCAACAGCATCCTGGCTTGTGTCAGGAATGGTGTGGCCAGCAGGAGCAGGGCAGGGATCGGCCCCCTGTGCTCGGCGCTGGGGAGGCCGCACCTGGAATGCTGTGCCCGGTTTTGGGCCCCTCAGCACAAGAAGGACATTGGGGTGCTGGAGCGTGTCCAGAGAAGGGCAGCTTCAGCATAGACATACAAGTCTTCTGAGGAGCGACTGAGGGAGCTGGGGGCATTCAGCCTGGAGAAGAGGAGGCTGAGGGGAGACCTCATCGCTCTCTACAGCTGCCTGACACGAGGGGGCAGGGAGGGGGGTGTTGGGCTCTCTTCTGCCTGACAGGAGGGGGCAGGGAGGGGGGTGTTGGGCTCTCCTCCCAAGTACCAAACAACAGGACAAGAAGAAATGGCCTCAAGCTGCACCAGGGAAGGTTTAGATTGGACATTAGGAAAAATTTCTTTGCTGAAAGAGTGGTCAGGCATTGGAACAGGCTGCCCAGAGAGGTGGGGGAGTCCCCATCCCTGGAAGTGTTCAAAAACGGGCAGACGTGGCACTTGGGGACATGGTTTAGTGGGCACGGGGGTGTTGGGTTGATGGTTGGACTGATGATCTTAGAGGTTCTTTCCAATCTTAATGATTCCTAGTTTTTACTTTCATTAAAAAATAATCCAGCCACCAAGCCAGGAAACATGAAATTATGACTCTCCCCTTAATTGGTTTAGTGGTGGGC